TCAGAAGAGGCAGAAGTGGATGTGAGAGACAGACACACACAGAGACACAGAGAGCGAAAGAGGGCAAGAGACTTGACTTTAAGAGACTCCTGCACTGACAACTCCATGCAGTTCGGAACAAGAACGGCAGCGACCGACTCTGGTTTCATGGGGACATGGCAGAACACTGACACTAACCTCTTATTCAGAATGTCCCAACAGGTATGTTACTTTTGTTTATTTTGAAAAATGGCATTTTTGTGCTCTTTTTCCCCCCTCTTTTTCTCTTTCTTTCCATGTTTCATTTTTGTTTCATTCATCACTACATAGTTAGCCTCTGAACTGTCATAACTATGTCATTGGAATGTGCACGGTTACTTCATTGCTTCCCTAAGGGCTCCTTTTTAAAAGGGGAAAAAATATTAAAGCTTTAAGTAAAATCAAGGCATTTGTTTTAAAGTTTCCGAATAGAGCTTTGCCCTTTGTAGTAACAGTGTTTTTCTTTGTTTGCTTTTGTTTTGTTCCAGTCTTCTTCCCCTTGCTCTCTCAGTGTCCCATAAATAAAAGTATCTACTATCCCAGCAAAACTCCTCTCTTTCTCCGAGTATATAAGCCCCCAGATCAGACTGATACTAAATGTAGGGGGCCCCTCAGAACAGAGTAATCGACTTCATGTGGCAGAACACAGTATTATTCAGAAGGAAAGATCCACGAGCCGTCCTGCTGGAGCTGCTGCCAGCACGGAGCTGAGGGTCGTTAGAGGAGACAGTTTCAGTCCTCCGGTCCCTCTCTGCTCCCGCTCCCTCTCGCTCCCTCTCCCCCCTCTCTGTGGAGCTCTGCCTTGGCGTCCTCCCCAGAGCTGCTCCTTCACCGGGGGCCGCGTTTAAGGCATCTTGGTATGCCGGTTCTGACGGGAAAGTGAAAATGTTACTCCAAGGCCAGTAATAACTGATAATTAATCACAGGAGCCAGTGTCTCTGTACCATGCACTTGGTGATACGCACCCTGTGTGTTATAGCTAATCTTGCACAATTGCTTGGCTCTTCTGGGTGAAGGGAAGGGGGGTTGGCGGGGAGGGAGTGAAAGAGAGGGAAAAAAGAAAAAGGAAAAAAAAGAGAGAGAAACTTTTCAGCTTGGAAGGGCTCAAGCAGGGGAGGGAAAGTTCATCCTGGAGGTTTTTAGCAGTGTGACTCCCTACCAGGGGATGTTTTGCCTTTCCAAAAACTAGTTTCCAGTTATGATCTGACACTGACTGATAATAATTGAAATACTGTGTTAGCCAAAGAGGAGTTAGTAAATTATTTGTATATTAATATTAGACTTCTATTTAATGTCAGACATAGCATGAATGAACTCATTTACTCGAGGGGTGTTGTACTGTAAGAAAAGAGAAGGAAAGTAATTAGGTATTTATAGTTTATAGTAACAAAGCATGCCTGAATATTGGCCATAAAATGGTAATTTAATTTAAAAAAAAAACTTTAAAGCCAAGTAAAAATCCAAAGCAGATAGTCAATAACCAGTAGTTTTCAGTGGATGACAGTTTAAGCAGTACAGCTCAGGACAGGATGAAGGCATTTGAATAAGGAATATTTTGATATATCCTGTAGAGGGACCCTGATTACTGCTGATACAGTATGCTGGTATAGAATGTAATCAACATAAGGCAAATAAGCAACTCTGTTCAATTTCCCATTCTTGAAAGTAAAAAAGTTCATTTCCTGGTAGAGATGAACATTTCAAATACACTGCTTGGCACTAGGAAGTGTGAACTAGTGCTGCAGTGCTTACAAGCCTTATCAGCTGTATGGATGTTTGTGATATGTAACATATTTGGTTGTATTGATATTGAGCAATAGCATGGAAACAGTTATTCAAATTACCTGCTGTATTCTTTTAGTAAGAAGTGAGATTAAATTTTTGGGGTGGAGAAAAGGTTCTTACCGTTTCAGCCACAAAAGAGTTAACATAACTACTTCCAGATAACGATCAATTGATAAATGACAGTTGAACCACATAGATAGTGTTAGATTGCCTGTTTAGTATTAGACCTTTTTCAACAGATTTAGCCTCTGTGGTTTCTGGAACACTAGAAAATGTTTAACACTGACAAAGAAAAGAAACAAAACTAAATAAAAGAGCATCACAATGTGTAAGGGGGTCAAATAATTGAGACAGCTAGCTCCTTATACCAAGCCAAACATTTATGCTTGTAAGCTAGTCTGTTTGGTTTCTATTTTCTTTTTTTTTCTTTCTTTTTTTTTTCTAATAATATTTTAAATATTCTTGAGTATTAACTGGATTTTGAACATTACTGAACATGCGTGATCATGTTGTATTCTGTATAGAAGGAGAGAAGTAATGTACTAAATGATTATATGTGTGGTGTATGGTGCATCAGTGTGTATCCTTCCACTGGAACACACACACAGTAGCACTGCAAAGGTGGTAATGTCGAACAGATTTATTTTTAAAAGTCTGTACTTAACATTTTTGTGTACTGTGTTAATCTCCTTGTCATATTTTGTTTGTTTGTTTATCATGTGCTAAACATACTCAGTCCAAATATGCTTTTATCATGCTTTTAAAAGGAGGGTAAGTTATTTTGCTAAATACATTTCTCTCCTGTTTAATTTTTTTGTACTATATTTCTGATTTGTTAGGGCTGTTACAACTTGCTAGCTTGTTTAAACTGCAAGCACAGACTGTGTGCAAGTGCAGCTGCAAATTTGTGTCTAAGTGCCAGTATTTCTTTCTAAATCACTAAAATTTTGACTGTTGTTTTCTGTTACCTATTTTCATCCATTTTTAAGTTCCTTATTTTAATCCATGTTCTAGAAATGTAAGTATTTTTAAAAATTTTTCCTGTGCTTTAAGAAAAATTGTTTTCATGAGTACAAGTAACATGAAGTTATGAGATGTACGAAACTTGCAAGGAAAGTTTGGCATGGTTTGAAAGAGCTGTTTAATGAAACTTTTCCAGCTATACATAGTAATGCTAGAGACATTTCTTTTAAAATTTTTAAGAATAATGCCAGCTTTCCACATGTTTTATAGAAGCAAACAAACCCAGAGACCCATCACTTTTCCTTGGAGTTGTAACTTAAACAGGTTTTTAGCACAGGGATTGGAGCATGGCAAGAAGAATGATTTAGAACAAAACAAAACCTTGCGATCTGTCCCTTCTCTTACCTCTCAACTCACTGTACTGCTATTTGCATACTATAGGAATAAATAACTTTTCTCAGAACAAAAGGAAAACCTACTTCATTAGGACAAGGAACTCTGTCTTAGAAAAATTAGGACTGATTGTACAGGTTTGGACTATTAAAGGAAGTGTGATTGTATTTATTGTTGGTTTATTTTCTTAGAGAATGGGTGTGCAAAAAAGTGGCATCTCCACATTCCAGAGCAAATTAAGATTTTGGTGGGTGAAAGAAGAAGAGGAATAGTCTCCCAAATTACCTGTGAGGAGTTTATGACATGGCCACTTGGCTGCATTGTTCTGCCTACGCACCTTTTGTCCATGTAAAAGTATGTGATTCGCTTACAGAAGAATGTCTGATAACCTCAAAGGGCATAAATCTTAACTTTCAAAAAGGAGTGCTTCTTTGGGTTACTTTGATCAGTGACAGGTCAAGAATGAGCAGAAACCCCTGGCTTCTCTTCCATGCTCATCTGGTTTAGTCCAGGGCACCCACTGCCCATTCTAGTTCTGGCAAGGAGTTAACAACAGAAAAGAAGGTCTGGATTTGGTTAACTAAAAAAAGCAGGCTTTTGTGATTGTCTGCTTTCATAAATGTTTTGTGTATTTGTCAATAAGAAATGTCATTTTTCTTCATCTGTTACCTTAAGGGCTGTAATGTTCTAAAATACTTTTAAGTCTTTTCAGAAATGAGACTGTAAGAGAAATTGTTGTAACCCACAGTGATGCAAAATGCCAAAGCCATGTACCATTTTGTTAAGAAAGAAGTATGTTTAATCCATTTCAGATAAAAAGGTAATAGGCTTTCCAGAAGCTTTTTATAATGTGAGAGTGAAAAAGCAGTATATCAGAATTATAAATGGATCTGTGTGTCATTATATAGTAATTTAGGATTCACTCAATGATGTAACAAAATTAACAACATAATTTCATTGTGTAACTGTATCTTATTAAAGAACAACTGTCTGACATTCTCTTACAGTTGCTTTATTTAACTTCATGCAAATATTATTAGTAGTGACATTTCTCTATTGTGCATTAGATTCTCTCATTAGCATGATGTGTTAGTTATCACCAGAGAAATCACTTCTAGATAGGTGAGTGGGAAGCCAAGAAAACTAAAAATTAAATCAATGATGTATATTAATATAGATGCATCTGTTCACGAGATATATGGTACAGTAAATTCAGCTTTTTTTTTCTTCCTTGCATAAATGCATGCTTATTCCACAGAAACCTAAATAATGTTTACAATATGTGGAGTATGCATTAATAGTGCTAAAATTATCAAACTGTATACAACATGCACTGCCTCTTTTGAGATGTACTTGTATTCTTCAGTCTGATAGTTCCTAATGTTATTGTAGACATAGGCACATAAACTGTTTATTGAACCAGTATTTAAAAATAGGAGTGTAGTGTAATGCCTAATGGATTGAACATAGAAGCTTTTTAAATGTTCCTGTACTGCTGGTCACAGAGGTTGTATGCAGTTTTAATTAACTGTTTTACTGTAGCATGTAACTATTGTTTTAATTATATGTTTGCATGCAAAAAAAAGTTAAAACTTAATGCAACAACAGGCTATATTTCCATACATCTCAATCTGTTATGAACATTTTGGGAGAAAGATGAACATTGGTAAAATGCATTTTGTAGTTTATGATAGTTAACAATTGCCTTTGTCAGTGAGCATTAACAAACATAATAATTATATTTAATATATATATTTTTATCACACCATTTTAAAGATTAGCTAACCCCAGGTGGGTTTTGGATTTTTTTTGTTGTTGTTCATGAAGAAGTCCATGTGCTAGTACAAATTCAGAAGCTTTATCAGGTTACGCTGTCTCATTTCAGACATTTGCTTTAATTTTGGTATTTCTGTAAAGCATAGTTTAAACCTGTAATGGTTCATGTTATTTTAGAAAATTAAAAATGTTTGCATCAAGAATTTTGTGCTGCTTCTGATGCGCCTCAGAATAGAAGCGTTAGAACATAGTGTATATGACAAAAG